GCCGGACTCAGCACCGCTCCGGGCGGCATGCCTTATCCCCCGGCAGCCCCATTCCAGAAATGTTTCCACCTTGAATCCCTCTGTTTTCCCGTGTTTCTTCGCGTCCGGGTAGTCACTGCTGCGTCGAGGGGGCTGTTCATCCTCACACAGGGATTCTGGGGCTGGATGGGCTCCAATCCGCCCGGATTTGCCACCTCTGACCTTCCCTTCCCGTTCTCTCCCCCCAGCTCGGCACAGGAGATGAAGCGCATGGAGAACATGTCCAGTCTGCTCCACGGCAGCGTTCCCGAGGACTTCCAGAGGCTGGAGCCCAAGTCGGAAAGGGAAGCGGCGGAGCAGCCCTGGGAGATGGTCATGGACAAGAAGCACTTCAGGCTCTGGCGGCGGCCGATCGAGGGCACCCACTTGTATCAGTACCGGGGTAATCCTGCTGCTCACGGGCTGGGCTCTGGTTTGGAAAAGCCGAAAAAATCCCAATTTTATGTCCTTTACTGCCCTCCTCACCGGTCCCGTCGGCCCTGCGGAGTGGCCCTGATGCTGGTCTTGAAAAAATGACTTTTTCTTTAGATCTTGCTGCAGTGAGTGCTCTGTGTGTGACTCCCTTTTTTCCCCTTTCCTGCAGTATTTGGGACGTACACGGATGTGACTCCCAGGCAGTTCTTCAACGTGCAGGTGAGTGTCGGGGAAAGCCAGGTTACTCCATGTGTTAGGAAGCAAGCATTCCCAGGAGGGATGGGATGGAAAACTGGTGTTATCTGCTCTTGGTATCACTTGCATGATATAAAACAACTTAACTTGGCCCGTTCTAACTCATACTAGGATCTAATTTACCCCGTTTATCCGCTTCTCCCATCGATCTGTGGTGCTCAGTTCCTGCTGGAGGTGAAGTCTCGAGGAACTGCTGAACTTTTTAGGATTTCTGATCCTAGTTTTCGCCCTCGTGCCCTGCAGGGCCCTGCGCTTCCTCCTCCACTGATGTTTTCCAAAGAACCTTGAATTTCCTAGAGGGTAAAACCTGACTGGGGCAACTGGTTTGTTCCCCCTAGATGAGGACAAGGGCTGGTTATTTTCCTTTAGCGATGACATTGGGTACATGGGGACTTTGATTTGGTCCCGTTTTCTTGCCAGCTGGACACTGAGTATCGGAAGAAGTGGGACTCGCTGGTCATCAAGCTGGATGTCATCGAGCGGGACCTGGCCACGGGCTCGGAAGTGATCCACTGGGTAACTCACTTCCCGGTGAGCGATTCCTGCCCCTTTCCCTCCTCGTTTATCCGCCCCACGCGAGCGGCTCCGGACGCTGATTTCCCTGCTTGCCTTTCCCCAGTACCCGATGTACTCACGGGACTACGTGTACGTGCGGCGGTACCGCGTGGACAAGGAGAACAACATGATGGTGCTGGTGTCGCGGTACGTGGCGCCGGCCCGGCGCGGGCCCTGCCCGGTTCTGCCGCCTTGGCTGCAACGTTCCCTCTGCTGTCCCCTCCAGGGCCGTGGAGCACCCGAGCGTCCCAGAAGATCCCGAGTACGTCCGGGTCCGAACCTACGAGTCGCAGATGGTCATCCGGCCTCACAAAACGTTCGACGAGGTGAGTTTTCAGAGAGCTCTGAAGAGAATCGAGGAATCGTTCTCATGGAATTGCCTTAAACATCTCCCTTTCCACCAACAAACAACACCGAGGACGGGACGGAGCCGAGAGCCGCGGAGCTCCGCGGCCGCCTCCGCCTCCCCCTGCCCCTCTCCTCCTTCCAGAACGGTTTCGACTACCTGCTGACGTACAGCGACAACCCGCAGACCGTGTTCCCGCGCTACTGCGTCAGCTGGATGGTCTCCAGCGGTGAGTCGCGACGACGGGAGCTTTTTCCCCCTTATTCCAAGTCATTCTGGGCTTTAATTCCTGCCTGCCGCGCTAGCAAACAGGAGGGGAAGCTGCAGCGCCTGCTCTGCAGTGCCCACAGTGGGACTCTTTTAAGAAAGAATATAAAGCCAATATCAATATGTACTTAGAATATAAAATATAAAAATAAAAGCTAAAGCAGCAGTCAGCAGTTAAACCTGGCACGTTTGCTGGTGCGACGCAAAGCAGGAATTTTATGGCCCCCTCTGTGGAGGGGGAAAGAGGGGAAGATTGAGAGAGCTGCGTGCTGGCACAAGGGGAGGAAAAGGGCTCTGTTCATCCTTCCATTTGTTTTACAATAAAATAAATAAAAAGAGAACGAGGCAGGAGCAATAAAACCCGCAGCCCCTTTAGACCTTTGGCTACAGTGATTTTTGGTGTCTGGCATCACTCAACTCTCTGCTAAACTTGTGCGTGCATCAGGACTTAAAGGCATTAACACACTTGACCAGTTGACTCTCTTGCCTGTTCTCTGCCCTTTCATTACTTAAAAACATTGAAAAAACAAGTCTACAACCCCTCCCGTGAACTTTCCTTTCACCCCTTTTCTTCCAAAATACAGAGTTTAAAGTGTCTAGGACAAGGGCAAGGCTGGCCCTAGTAAGGGGGTTCAGAGGGACCCCAGAGGCGAGCGGAGCACTGACAGCAGAGCTGAATTTCGGCTGTTTCAGGACATAATGTGATTAAACCACGTTAAACTCCCCCTCTCTCCCTCCTGGGCTTGCTGAGCATGGGTGCAATGAGGGAATACAAGGAGCAAGTGCAGGAGGAATCCTTTTCCAAGGGGGATTCCACATCCCAATCCTCCTGGCACCGTGCTTGCTCACCATGGCCTGCCTGTGATATTTAAGCCCTGTGGCCTGTTAACTCTGAAGCGGAGTGACTCCTGTGCACCTCATACTTTGGCCGCCTTGGGCAAAGTCACACGAAGGGCAGGGAAGTGTGAGGTTTCCGGGAGAGATTTTTTCTTAATAAAAAAGCGAGACTGAAGAAGCCAAACTTGGCTTTTTTAAGCCCAAGGTTGCTGACTGGGGCTGAAATGTCACCAGGTGGCTCAATGGGGGCCCAAAGTGGCGAATGTGAAACCTCAGAGCGCCGCTTTCCCCGGGTTAGAACTGAAGCTGCGGGCAGGAAGCGGCAGAAAAGCCCTGGGGTCGGAAACGCCTCCGCGCGGCCCCGGATCAGTGCTCGGCTTCGCTTCGCTCCTTTGCCAAAATAAATGATCAGTGGGGAGAAAAATCAGGCAAGGGGAAAACCGAGAAGGGGCTAAAGGAGAAGAATCTTGCACCTTTCTCCCAAACGGGTGGGATTTGGGGAGCGTAGGTGGATGAAGGGACCCCCGGAGGCAGCAGGGAGGGTGCGGAAGCGGATCCCTTCCCTCGCCCCTT